TCAGTGGTAGAGCCCCTGCCTAGAATCCCCCAGTGAGGGGCTGGGGTGTGGCTCAGTGGTAGAGCCCCTGCCTAGAATCCCCCAGTGAGGGGCTGACGGTGTGGCTCAGTGGTGGAGCTCCTGCCTAGAATCCCCCAGTGAGGGGCTGGGGTTTGGCTCAGTGGTGGAGCCCCTGCCTAGAATCCCCCCAATGAGGGGCTGGGGGTGTGGTTCAGTGGTAGAGCCCCTGCCTAGAATCCCCCAGTGAGGGGCTGGGGTGTGGCTCATGATTAGGGCATCTGTTTGGCATAAGCCCTGCCCTGGCTTCCGTTCTCAACACCTCCTAGGCTCCTAGGGGAAAACAAAACAAAAACAAACTACGCAGGGCATTGAAAGCTATGGTCAAGAGCCCAGCCTTCTCCCAAAGACACTCAGGAGCCACAGAATTCTGAGCAAGGGAGGAACAGGGCCAGTTTTGCACTTAAGAAAGGCCTTTCTAGTCTGCTGGATGGGTTGTAAGGGACAAGACTGAAGGCAAGGGGAATGGACAGACTGGACAGCGACACTGTAGCTAATACAACGTCTAGGGAAATGTAGTCTAAAGAACTGAGCCAAGTAAACAAGTGTCATTTCAACACTGGGGGTCCCCAAAGCAAGCAAGAGTCAGACAAAGTGAGGCATCATAACCCAATGCCCATCTGTGGTGGCAGATGTGGAAAAGGCCGGCGGTGGAAGCATTCAAGAATGCCACTGGGAGAGGGCAGCAGAGGCCACAAGGGCCTCTCCAGCCCAGGCATGGAGTGTGTTGGGGATTTCTGTTTTGTTTTTTTCCGAGGCAAGGTCTGAAGTCTGGGGCTGCACGCGTCCCCCACCTTTAACACAGGAGCTGCACCAGACACAACAGGCTGGCACCAAGTTCTCCCCAACAACTAAGAAGAAATGACCGTTCGCTGAGCGGGGCAACACACACCCGTAAACCAGGAGGCAGGGGCAGGAAGACTGAGTCTGGGCCAGCCTGAGTTACAGAACAAGCGTCTCAAAAAGAGAGGGGGAGAGGGTGACACTAGGATGGCAGGGGTCTAGCCTGCGCAAAGCCCAGAGTTCTACCTCCAACGCCCCCAGAAAGCGGTCGGGGTTGAGAAAAAGAGAAGGCCGCTGAGCAAACGGGGCTCTCGCCCCGACACGGGCTCTCGCCCTGACACACTCCCAAGCCCAGGGCCCTTCCCTCTGGAGCCCTCCCACCCCGCGCTCCAGGCTGGGCACTCACAATCTTCTCGTAGTACTCCCGACGTCTCTCGGCCCTCTTCTTGTAGTCCACCATCATGCCTCGAAGTTTCCGCTCATGCTTGCGAGCCTCGTGCCACATGGTGGTGAGGCCTCTACCTGAGGGATGAGGGCACCACACACACACACACACATGTCAGACGGACTGTAAAAACCACACGGGCAGAGTCACAGTCCTCTAACAAGCCGGTGTCGACCCTGACGGCTTCAGAGGAGAGGCGCTATGGTGCAGAGCTGGAGGCTGAGTACACAAAGGATCTGCACACAGTCTTGCCCGTCGTAGCTCAGCCACTATGAGAAAGTGCCTGAGTGACTTGGGTGGCCCAGGTGAGGCCCTCTCCTGGGAAAGGCATTATCCTAGATAATATGCTAAAGTCCAGATGAAAGATTACGGAATAGATAACCCCTGGAAGGTTGATGCCTCGAGTTTAAGGCCAGCCTGGGCTATACTGTACCGGTCCAGAGTACAATACAATACACGGGGGTAGGAGGTGGGGGATCTCGCTTTAATTAAAAATAAAGGGAGAAAGAGAGAAATTGGCCAGTATTGGGGGTGCATGCTTTTAATCTCAGCACTGGGAAGGCAGAGGCAGGCAGACGTTTGAGTCTGGGGCCGCCTGGTCTATGTGGTGAGTTCCAGACTAGCCAAGGCCCTGTCTGTAAATGTAATTTTGGGGGGTGGGGGATGAAAGGAGTGTCTGAAGCTGATCATGAGCTGCCAGGGCTGTGCTCACAGGAAGAACCCCCAAAGATCCTCTGCAGGAGCCATGCATGGGGGGGAAGGGCTGCAGCACAGTAGTGAGATGAAAGCTGGAGGGGAGGGAGGACGAGCTTCTCCGAAGCCCGGCCCTGGGGGGGGGGGGGTGAGGCCCGGTGAAGGGCGTGGGGTGGGATGGAGATGGTCAGGCGGCTGAGGTCTAAAGAGGGGATGTGAAGCTGGCCAGGCATGCAGGCGAACAGAGAAGAGCGCGGGCCCGGGTGGGCGCGCTGGGCGTGAGGCAGGGGCGGAGCTCCGTTTGCGAATAGGGGTCTCGGCCGAGCCCCACAGCGCGGACTCGGGCCCGAGGAGGGGCGAGGGGCGCAGCCAGAGGCCTGTCAGGACGGAAGTAGCTGGGGCCGCCCTCGGGGCCCTGCGGGCACCCACGGCCATCCCGGGGACGCCTCGGGCAAAGATGAAGCCCGCCTGCCACCGTTCGGAAGCCGGGAGGTCGGGGTCGGACGCCTGCACTCACCGGCTGGTCGCCGCCTCCCACTGCTGCGCTCGCGCGCTCACGACCCGCACCGGAAGCGGAAGCCAGGTTGAGCGAAGGAGAGAAGCGGTACTGCACAGAAGGCACTTCCGCAGTCGCGAGGGCGGGATCTGGGGGAAAACTGGGCGTGGTCTTGTGGTTGTGGGCGTGGCCCACTGTGATTGGTCCGGTTTGTGGGCGGGGCCTGTATGCTGGCACGATCTGGGGCGGGGCCTAGGGGTGCGGTGGCTGGAAGCGCAGGCAGAGGAACACACAGCGTTCCGGGCACGTTTTTGTTGTTGTTGTTACTTTTAAAGACTTATTTATCTTAGGGCTGGAGAGGTGGCCAAGCGGCTAAAACACTGGCTGCTCTTCCAGAGGTCCTGACCTTACTTTCCCGCACCCACATGGCGGCTCACAATAGGAGTCTGTAACTGTGGTGTCATGGGATCCAGTGCCATCTGCTGGTGTGCATGCATGCGGAGAAAACACCCATCCACATGAAACACATAAATTAAAAGTCTTTTAAAAAAGATTCATTAGCCGGGCACACACCTTTAATCCCAGCACTCGGGAGGCAGAGCCAGGTGGTTCTCTGTGAGTTTGCAGCCAGCCTGGTCTACAGAGCGAGTTCCAGGACAGCCAGGGTTGCTACACAGAGAAATCCTGTCTTGAAAAAAAAAAAAAAAAAAAACGAAAAAGATTGTATGGGTATGTGTGTATGTAAATGCACTTGGAAGCCAGAAGAGGGCGTCAAATGTGCTGTGTATTAGGGTTCTCTAGAGTAACAGAACTTAGAGAATGAATCTTTACATGTATAGAAAGGGATTTATTAGAATGACTTACAGACTATGGTCCAGCTAATCCAACAATGACTGGCTATGAGTAGAAACTCTAAACATCCAGTAGTTGCTCAGTCCACAACGCTGAATGTCTCAGCTGGTCTTCAGTATACACAGGAATCCCCAATTGCCTAATGCCTAATGCCTGTGAAAAATGGACTTGAGCTGGGCTGTGGTGGTGCACACCTTTAATCCCAGCACTCGGGAGGCAGAGCCAGGCGAATCTCTGTGAGTTTGAGGCCAGTCTGGGCTATAGAGTGAGTTCCAGGAAAGCGCAAAGCTACACAGAGAAACCCTGTCTCGAAAAACCAAAAAAAAAAAAAAAAGAAAGAAAGAAAGAAAGAAAAGAAAGAGAAAGAAAAAAGAAAAGTGGACTTGCTAGCAAGGAGAGAGCAAGCAGGCAAAGAGCAAAAGCTTCCTTCTTCCATGATCTTATGTAGGCTTCTAGCAGAAAGCATGGCCCAGATTAGGTCTGAATTACTTCAAATTAAGCAAAAATCCCTCACATGTGTGTCCTCCATTTGGGGGTTTTAGTTCCAGATGTAGCCAAGCTGATAACTGAGAATAGCCAGCTCACACTCTGAGCTGCCATGTGGGTGGTGGGACTGATCCTAGTCCTCTGCAAGAGCAGCAACAGCTCTTAACCACTGAGCCACCTCACCTGCTCCTCAGCCACAATTGCTCCATTCCAGACTAACCTACTGTTCCCCAGGCAAAGAAGAGAGGCGACCCCCAAGGCTCAAAAAAAACTAATTTTTATTGGGAAAACTGCACAAACAACATACCCCCACCTTCAGGATCAGGGAAGAGGGTCGGGGATCTGCTCCCTCCTCCCCTATGTACAATCTCTCAGAATCTGTCCTGAGAAGGGGCCCACCTACAGGATCCCCTTTTCCTCTTCAGACTCAGCGTTCTCATCTGTAAAATGGGCTCAAGGAGAACTGGAGCTCACCCCAGCTTCTTGCCAGCACTGCAGATGTCCGATTCAGGATGAGGAAGCTGGAAGACTGATGAAGGTTGGCCTCAGGGAATGGGGTGCTGCACCACACTCCTCACCCAGTACCTCCTCTGGCACCTCAGAGGCTACGTGGCTTCAGGCCCTGGGGACAGGAGGCCACTCCCAAAAGCTGCCTCTCGGTATTGGTTGGGGAACATGTTGCTGCCCACAAGGCTGGCGGTGCCAACATCCCCGGGACCTGGGGCTGCATACGAGTCCAGAGTCAGGGGATCTGGGCCGGGAGACTCCACAACGCTGGCCCCTGCACCCCCACCACCCACCACAGCGCTGGCAAGAGGTGGTGCTGGGGGAAGCAGGTCCAACATGGTGAAGAGTGTAGGGGCGGAAGGGTCATAGGCAAAGCCATCGTCCAGGAGGTCAGGGCCGCCAGGAGGCTCCAAGCCGGGAAGGGATATGGTGCTAGGGAAGAAATCGGCGTCTGTCGGCTGCAGAGCTGACGGCGGGAGGAACAGGCCTAGTGAAGAGAGAAGGGTGGCTGGTTTAGGACCCACCTCTGGCCATGCAGTAACTAACCTGGACCCCATCGCACTAAATGTTTTGTTTTCTCTGGCTGTCCTGCAACTCGCACTGTAGACCAGGCCGCCTGCCTCTGCATCCTGAGTGCTGGGATTAAAGGGTGCATCACCACTGCCCAGCAAGTGTATTCTATCTTAGGCCCTTAACCTTAACCTAAGTAAGAAGGAAATACCACCACCCCGTTTCAGTGTGTGTGTGTGTGTGTGTGTGTGTGTGTGTGTGTGTGTGTGTACATGACGTATGTGAGTAGGCATACCCACTGCCATTGTGCATGGAAGGTCAGAGTTCACTTTTGTGGAGTCATTCATTCTGCTACCTCTATATGGAGACAGAACTCAGATCCGAGCTTGCATGGCAGCCTTTATTCTCTTTATCCACTGAGCCCTCTCTCTAGACCATGCTCTTTCAATGTGTGTGTGTGTTTGCCTTTGCTTATTATGTATACATGTGAGTTCCACAAGACCCTGCCTTTAAGGAGGCCGTGGTGGAGGGATGGCTCAGTGGTTAAGAACACCTGCTGCTCTTGCAAAGGAAGAGGGTCGGGTTCCAGTCTCCACTTTCAGCAGCTCAAATCCACCTGTAACTCCAGCTCCTGAGGATCTGACGCCCCCTCTTGGCCTCCGTGGGCAACTGCATGCCCGTGCCCACCCGCACACTGACCTGCATGCGTGTACATGTAAATAAGTAAAAGTAAAGGCAGGGTCTCAGGCCATCCAGACCCCTCACTGGTTAAAGGTGCTTACTGCCATCCCTGATGACTACTGCAAGTTCAGTCCCCGGAACCCACGTGGTGAGAGAAGAAAACTGACTCCTGTGAGTTGTGTTCTGATCTCCACATGCAACCTGTGCACAGCATGTGTGCACACACATACATGCAAAATAAATAAATAAATGTTTAAAAAAATCTTTTGCCGGGCGGTGGTGGCGCACGCCTTTAATCCCAGCACTCGGGAGGCAGAGGCAGGCGGATCTCTGTGAGTTCGAGGCCAGCCTGGGCTACCAAGTGAGTTCCAGGAAAGGCGCAAAGCTACACAGAGAAACCCTGTCTCGAAAAACCAAAAAAAAAAAATAAAAAAATAAAAAAATCTTTAAACATAGGACATGGTCTCTTGTAGCCCAGGCTAACCTTAGATGTGCTAAATAGCCAAAGATATCTCTGAACTCCAGATTCTCTTGCCTCCACCTCCCAAGTGCTACAACATCTGAGTTTTTACGTGGTGCTGGGGATCAAACCCAAGGCTTTGTACACTAAGTTCCCTCTCACAATGGAGCTATAACCCCAGTCCATCATTCTTCTTTAATAAGCAAATTATTATTTTTAATATACATATTTTTAAAGATTATTTATTATGTATACAACGTTCTGCCTGCATGTATCTCTGCAGGCCAGAAGAGGGCACCAGATCTCATTGCAGATGGTTGTGAGCCACCATGTGGTTGCTGGGAATTGAACTCAGGACCTCTGGAGGAGCAGCCAGTGCTCTTAACCTCTGAGCCTTGTCTCCAGCCCCCCAAAAGCAAATTATTAAAGGCAGTGAGTAAAATAACAGCCAGTCACAGGCTATCCACTCACAGAACCAGAGCTGGAGCCAGGCTCCCAAAACGAGCAGGGCTGAGAATATAGCTGTGGTGAAGTGGGTATGGAGAGAGACCGACAGTCAGACAGACAGAGACAGAGAGGGAGAGAGAGAGACAGAGACTCCCTTGCAGCCACAGTAGAACTCACCACACTGGAGTCCTCCCTCAGCCTCCCATGTGCTGGATTTACAGGTGTGAGCCACCATACCTGCCCTTCTTGCTGTCATATGTCCCTGTTAGCTTTAACTGTCAGTTTGACACAGCCTCGAGTCACCCGAGAAGGGCATTCTGACTGAAGGAATGCCCAGATCAGATTGGCCTAGGGGCATCACTATAGGGAATTGTCTTGGTTGTTAATTGGATAGAATGGCCCAGCCCACCATGAGCAGCAACATTCCCTGGGCAGGTCGTCTTGGGCTGAATTAAAACACTAGCCAAGCATGGGTCTGCCAGTGAGCAAGCCAGTCGGTGTTCCTCCATGGTTTCCACTTCAAGTTCATCCCTCAGTGATGAACAGTGACCTAAAGCTGAAGTTAAATGCTTGCCTCCTCCCCTCCTGAGCTGCTGCAATTTGGTCTTGGTGTTTCTCACAGCATCAGAAGGAAACAAGAACTCACTGATGTTCTGCTAACTGGAGTGTGGAGTCGCCGGCTAGAGCTGCGGCATCTACCTTTGGCCAGGAGATGGAAACGGTGCATTAAGAGGGGCAAGGGCTCTGCCGCTCAGGGAGCCAGCAGAGCGTTCCTGGAGCAGTTCCCGCCCCACTGTCCTTGGGAGAGAGAAACAAGGCTCCAGCCTGTCACTCCGAAGCTTGGTGATACATCTGAAAGTGAACTGCTTTAGCAAGGCCTGGACAGGTGGCCCATACCTCTAATCCCAGCAGGAGCCAATGGATCTCTGCGAGTTTAATATCAGCTAGGGCTGATGAGACTCTGCTTAAAAAAACAGAAAGTCCACATACTCAGAATTCCTAGGCCGTTTTTTTTGGAGGCGGGTTTCTAATCATCACACTGTATGCTTGGGCGGGGCCATGAGACTTGGGAAACCTGAGGGCAGCTGGTGGAGATGGCGAGGATCGGTGGTTGCTAGGGGCAGAGTCGCTGTGCAGCAGGGTACCAGCTGCATGAAAACCAGACAGGGCCATGCACAGCAAACCCCAGGGCCGGCTGGCTC